GAGAAAGGGTTGAGGTCCCTCTGTTAGCTCCAGCTCCCCATGCGGGGGACATGAGAGAAGGCTTCCCCAAGGATGGCAAAACATCAAATGTCCAGGTGTGCCCTGGGCAACATCCTTGCAGACAGCCAATTCTCTCACACCAGAAGTTATTTGCAGTTTCTCCAGTTGTTCCTGACACAAAATAATAATAATAATAATAATAATAATAATAATAATAAGAAGAAGAAGAAGAAGAAGAAGAAGAAGAAGAAGAAGCAGCAGCAGCAATTAATTCTTGAATGGAGTAGCTATCAGCTACAGTATCTCTTAAATTTCAACTAGAAAACAAATCATCATCTCCAATAAGGACAAGAGCACAAGCTTCAACTGAACCAAGTTTCTACAAAAGAAAGAGCCTCCTTGAGATAGTCAAAGGAAATTGTATGTGCTTTTAATCCAAGTTGCCAAATATGCACTGGATTTAAGTGAATGTTGAGGCATTTTTGTATGAAGAACAAGTCCACTAGCTTGTGTCAGTGTCATGAGATAATAATTTTGGCCTCTTCCCATACCCTCTCCTGGGAAAAGTACTTACTAAGAATGTTCATTAATAATGTAGTCAGGATGTGATTATTTCTAGGCTCATGGTTCGGTTTAATTATCTTTATTTTAAAGAGTACCAGTCAAAACCACACAGTTCTGCCAGAGAGAGCTCTGTGAGAATGGAGCTTGTGCCAGCAAAGCAACCTTAGAACTAGGCTTCCAATTTATAATGTGTTTGTATCCATTTAACAAACAGCCAAGTGAAAAAATGCCTTCTGGACTATTTGTGAGTAATTGAGTTCATATATTTTACTGCATCTCTTATTTATCAATAACATGGGGTTAAGTCCAATGTTAGTCTACTTAGAGCAGATCCATCCAAGTAAACAGGACTTGTAAAAACTAACTGAAGTCCCATTGGTTTTAATGGGTCTAACGGGTAGGGCCAATCTTGACTTTAAGACATGGGAAAAAAAAGCTAACAGTAATGTGCATAAGGAACAAAATGGTAGGTAATTATGCTACATATTAGAAAATATTGAAGATCCCATTTGAGAATGAATGGATTAATACATTACTAGACATTGCAGAGATGGACAAGTTAACTTGGCTTCTGAAGGAAAACCCTAATAGCTCATCTAGTTCAGGCAACTTTTGAACTGTGAACTTTCCCATTTTATTGATCAAGCAGGATTTTTATTTAGTGAATTCATGGAGTCTGGACACAGACATAGCATTAGTTGCACCCAGAGTATCTAGTTCTCACCTAACATATAAAGTGTAAAGGGCTTTCTAATATCAAGGTACATAGAATGAATGAGAAGTCTCATTTAGATACCTGGTTTTGAAAGCTAACCTATTTTTTTTCATGTCAGGAGCTACTTGAGAAGCTGCAAATCACTTCTGATATGAAAGAATTGGCCATCTGCATGGATGCCCGGATGTGTTACCATCCTGTGGGAGGTTTCTCTCATGTCCCTGCTGGAGCTGACAGATGGGAGCTAACCCGCTTCCCAGATTCGAACCACCAACCTTTTGGTCAGCAGTCCTGCCGGCACAAGGATTTAACCCATTGCACCACCATGGGCTCCGGCTAACCTAATCACCTCCTAAAAATGTTCGTATCCTGAAAACTTTTAGGATAATATATTAGACTATACAGTCCCCATTGTGTTCAGATTTTGGTCTGTGTCTATAATGTATATATGATGAAATTGGACATATAAGCATTTCTTGCAATAAAGTTGGATCCTTGACTCACCAGCATGGCTTCTAATCTTTCCCACGTCACTGGGGGAAGAAATTCCCTTTCAAGAACAATAGGTTTGCACTCCCTATGTATATGCACTCATTTTGAGATGTTTGCTGCACTCTAGCATTAAAAACTGACATGGTAAAGGAGCACTTTATAGCGAGATGTTTATGCTTGTAGTTACACTTTCCATTAAACGTTTACTTAGCATACCTCCAATTCTCTCCCATCAAGATTACATCCACACCTGCTCAACCTGAACAACTGTCTCTTCCATGTTACATGTACAAAAGAGAATATAGCCAATGATTGACAATTACCTTGTAAATGTGATTATAGCCAATGATTGACAATCACCTTGTAAACTTAAAGTATGCTCAATCCATGTATAAGATCTAAGCAATAAGGAAACAGTGACAGACAAGCTCATCGATAAGAAACAACCCTAAGTAAACACAGCAAGCCTGGATGCAAAGATTCCACAAGCAGAGTTTTATTTATAGAATTATCCCACTAGCAGTGGTTCTCAACCTGGGGTCCCCAGATGTTTTTGGCCTACAACTCCCAGAAATCCCAGCCAGTTTACCAGCAGTTAGGATTTCTGGGAGCTGAAGGCCAAAAACATCTGGGACCCCAGGTTGAGAAACACTGCACTAATGAAAAGTGGAGGTCTTTTTTCACTTCCTGCACTAGTGAGACTTGGTGCAAGTTATCCTCTTTCACTTATTCTCCAGCAGAAAGTTGCCCTGAATCTAACTCTGAATCTCACCCATGGGAGAAAAGTGGGATATAAATAAATAAATAAGTAGCATCATCATCATCATCATCATCATCATCATCATCATCATCATCATCATCATCATCATCATCATCTAACTCTCTAGCAAAGGTTACTAATGATACAAGGCTATGTAATTTATTCCTTTCAGAACTTGGTACCCGTGTTCTAATGCTGTACAATAAATAACACTGTTAGTAGAGTAGCCATTTTCTCAATTTCATGCTAATTTATTGTTCCTAAGTCACTTTTGTGTCCCACCACTTCTCTGAAGAGTTCAGGGTACTGTACATGGTTCTGTTCCTCCCCACTTTATGCTCACAAGAATCCTGTGAGTTACAGATCAAGGTAAAGAGGAAAAGCAAGTTCTCCCTGAGTACTTCAAGGCTGACCAGAGACTAAAACCTGTATCTCTTACGTCTTTGTACAAATAAATCTTCAGGCTCAATTTGACTTAGGGCTCCTTAAAGTAGTATAAAGTGAAGTCTCTGATCTATGACCTTATCACACTGAGAAATTTCCCCCCTCATAGGACATTTCAGCCTCTTTTCAAGCAAGGAGAAGCACAGAGCTTATCACATATTCTGGGGTTGAAAAGAGGCAGAAATGTCCTGAAAGGAGGGAACTCTGAACACAGGCCAGCAATCGTGTTCAGAGCTCCTACTTCCTATCACACTTTACTCCCATGGTTCCAACTAAAGAAATCCCCGATAGCACAATGGGTTAAACCCTTGTACCAGCAGGACTAAAGGTTCGAATCCAGGGAGGGCGCGGATGAGCTCCCTATGTCAGCTACAGCTCCACATGCGGGAACATGGGAGAAGCTTCCCACAAGGATGGTAAAACATTAAAACATCCAGGCATCCCCTAGGCAACGTCCTTGCAGATGGCCAATTCTCTCATACCAGAAGTGACTTGCAGTTTCTCAAGTCACTCCTGACATGAAAAAACAAAAACAAAAAACAAAAAACCAGAAAAGTAAGTGGGATGGGAACCACCAAAGTTTTGGATTCTGGTTCATTGCCTTCTGTCAGTAGTCTCTTCTATCATATGGGGTTTGGAGCAGAACAATTTTATTCCATTGAAAGACATTGTTTCAAACTGTAGAACTATCTATTGTATCATATGGGGTTTGGAGCTGGGCAATTTTATCACATGGAAAGAAAGGATTTTAAACTGCATCACTGTCTTGTCAAAGGCTTTCATGGCCGGAATAACTAAGTTGCTGTGCATTTTCCAGGCTGTATGGCTATGTTCTTCTGGAACACGGCCATACAGCCCGGAAGACTCACAGCAACCTTGTAGCACTGTCTCTTGTATCACATGGAGGTTGGAACAGAATAATTTCATCCCATGGAAAGAAATGGTTTTAAACTGTAGCACTGTCTCTTGTATCATATGGGGTTTGGAGCTGGGCAATTTTATCCCATGAAAAGAAGATATTTTAATAGAAGGGACTCTTTTAATATAAGGGACTTTGGACAGGGCAAAGAATCACTTGGCTTTAGGATATTGTAGTTTTCCCTGATTAAAAAAAATATTACTGACCGTGTGATGAATGTAAGATTAATGTGTGACCAGCTCTCGGGTTTCCACGTGTGAGTGTGATGGGTAAGCAAAACTCGAGACCTGGTGGCTGATGATCTAGAGGGGCGATTCTCTATGCTGAAAGGACAGTTACCCGTACTTTCCCATCTCAATGTGATGAGTCACAGAGCACAACTTCACATATATTTATTATCCACCTTTCCCTACAAAACTGCTCAAAACAGATGCAGGTACACAATACAAATCAATAAAGACATGCAAGAATCACAGTTAAAATAAATGTTTCATTTAAAAACTCAAGTAACTAAACAAGTACAGCACATCACCAAAAACCATTTCCTTGTGAATCATAAGGATTCCAAATGTCTATTAGATTATGCTACAGAAAAGACATAAATGAAACAACAAACATGACAAAAGCGCCAGTTATTATAAAATGAATAAAATTTCTCTTGACTCTAGACAGGAAGCATACCGAGTCCAATGAGGAGTGGCTTAGAGGAGGTTAAGAGGGGACATGACAACTATGTTTAAATATTTGAAAGGCTGACATATTGAAGAGAGAACAAGCTTCATTTTCTGCTGCTTCAGAGACTTAAGATACAGAGCAACAGATTCAAACTTTAAGAGAAGAAAAGCTTCCTGACAGTAAGAGCAATCTGATGCTGAAATATGCTGCTTTAGAGTGCGGCGGAGTCTCCTTCTCTGGAGGTTCTAAAGCAGAGGCTGGGTGGCCATCTGTCGAGACTGCTCTGATTGAATGGTTTCTGCATGTCAGGGCGCTGGACTGGACAACCCTTATGGTGTCTTTCAACTCCATGATTCTGACATTCACATGAAAGTACTGTTAATGCACAGACTAGATACAGTGCCAAGTATATATTTTATCGCCATACTTACTGGTGTTGTGGTCAATATAATAGACTCCAACCTGGGGGTCATATGCTTCTTCCCATCCCAGTGGTAATTCATCACTGATGCAATCAGCAAAGGTTAGTGGTTTAGTGTATCTGAAACAGAAAAAGATGTGATTACTGGGATTACCTAATTTTCCAGGTTGAAATAAAGGACAATACATTTGGCAGCCCCCACAGTAAGCTCCAATAAAGAGAGCAACAGTAGACCCCAAGACCAAAAGCTTAACATTTAGTATTGCAGTGACACATACTCTTGTTTTTCAATTGATCCAAGAGAGAAAGTATTCCATATTTTCTCAATACAAAATTCTCAGCATAGTTCTGGCTCAGGCTCAGCGAGTACTCATTCAGAAAGAGAACGTAAGAACTCTGGTAATCATATTCTGCCCCAAGAATTGAACAAACAAGTTTGTCTATGGAGGAGTCTTAATTCAAAAATATGTAGGCATGTAGGAGCATGTTATGCTTGATTTATAGTGTGTGAACTATGTGAATTATTAAAACCACACAAAGAAAAATAAGTGGATAAGTAACATTAAATTATATCATGTGACTTTCTCATTCCTGTGTATGGCATTATAACCATTTATAATTGACAAATGAGATTATGGTCTTATAAGTTTAGAAGGCTGGCTATTGCAAGCTGAAACACTTTTAAATCATATGAAAGTATCTAGGCCATTTTTCTTCATTTCTTCAAGTAAGGGAGAGGGAGAAACTACTGGACCCTGATGCAGGATACAAATATAGTTTGCAAGTAAATACATGTACTAACCCACTGATGCTATATATTTTTAGACACACATTCCTGAAAATTAATATGAATATTTTATAAACATCACTTTTCAGCCAAGTTCTACTATTAAACTGGGAGACGAAGGAGCACCCAGTATTATATATGACTAAGGCATTAGCTAAAACATTCTAGGCTAATTATATCCCACTCTTTTCAAAGAGAAATTAGGTATTGCTAAAATTTAACTAGATCACACCTACCATAGGAGATACTAACTTTAAAAGGCTGGAATGGTGCCCTAAATCATTTTTAAAAATCCAATTTATTTATAACGAAAGACTACAATTGCATGCCTTTCAGGTCTCCTTGGGAGTTTCCAAATGAAGTATCAAATATTTACTATCTTTTGTTAATAACAACAAAAACTCAATCCAACATGAAAAAGAAAGCTTATGTCACAGACCAAAGTCTTAAATGTTTTTATATTGTGTCTTTCAATACATTTTGAATATTATTAATTCTATAGGTTAACTGTTTTTTAAAAATAATATTTGTATATGTTTAACTGAATTTTTTGTATGTTTCAATACATTCTTGGTTTATTATTTTGAGTTAGGAAGACAGGGTATGAATGAATAAAATATTAATAATAAACAACCTTCACTCATAAGATACTGGTAGTAAAAATGATAGTCAAATGACATAAGATATGTCATTAAAAGTTATGTATTTGGAAGTTTAATGCTCAAGATAGTTATATTCTTCATTATACTGACTGGTACATTACAGATTTACACAGAAGAATATCTCGCATCCATCGAGGTTAAATGCTGATAATGATGTCACAAAAATAATGGTGTCACAAAAAGGCCACCAGACATTTTCCAAATATTTTCAATTCAAAACGACGACACATCCCAAAACAAGGAGAATAAATAGTGTGAATGCATTATAGGGGTGGCACCTGATTGCCTTCCCTATGCCTGAACACCAAAGAAAATTACAAATATGTACCCAAAATACATGTGGGAGCCCCCCGAACAGTTTTCTGTATATTATTACACTAAAAATTCCAACAGTTTGGATCAATAGGGTTTCCCCTGATGTCGAGCATGCCCCCCCCAACAAGGGATGGTGACTTATAGTTCTGCAAAGGACAAAGGTACCAGACTGCACAATAGGGGTTAAGTCTTGGTCAATTTGCCAAGGCCTTAACAACGAGGACCCCATGAAACTTTGGGAATAGCTAGACCTTGGGGTCTCTGCCTCTCTCTCTCGAACTGTAGTTTTCCAAGGACCATGGGACCGGCTTCCATCCCAGCGCTGCAGGGCTTTGCGTCTTGGCCCAGTGGAACTCCATAGACTCCCTTTGGTGGCTTTTTGAATTCTGCTACATTCCTGGACTTCACTCTCTTCAAGGACTCGCTCTCTACCCATGAACTTTCTTCAAGACAACTTATGAATTCATGCTGTGTCCTGATATCGTCTGCTTTTTATAATTGGTATTATTAATCTCTCTCTGGGGTCCTGGATGGGAAGATAGCTGCATATGATTTCCCTGTGTATAATTTCTATATGATTTTTATGTTTCCTTGTATTCCTGACCCTTTGCCCCTTCTCCCTCCAAAGAAATATGTAAGGGAACCCCCTGGCCTTCAGAAACAAAAGCCATTAGCGATTACTGAAACCTCCCGCCAAAGACACACTTGCATGGATAAAAGAAGGAGATTCTTATCTCTAGCATCGGAAGATGGCCCACTAGAGTAAAGAATTGTTTGACAAAAGTTTCTGTAAGATAAGGGGAAATCTTCCCCTCTGCTTTTGTTTACTTAGCATTAACCTCAGGCTGCCATCATTGTTCTCCTGTCTCACAGCCAGGAAGGATCAGGACACATGTTGATTCACAACACTCAAAGCAGCCCTGCTTGAGCTCTTTGTCTCAGGCTACATGGCATTTCCTTTGTTTACTCCTTTCCCAGATTCCTTTGTGTTCCCTCATCCCGCCTCCATCTCTCCTGATTGGCTGTCTCCATCAGGTGGCAGAGGTCTCCCCACTGGAAGCTCAGGACCACTGGAGCTTCCTGATTGGTCCAGAGGCACCGGAGGCGGGAGGACCGCCTCCCAACTGTTTGCCCATCGCCCAATCATGGCAGGGAACAACAGGGAAGCCGGGGCGGGGAGTTTGAACTCTGCAACTTTGAATTTGCTATAAATATGACTGTATTGGTGTACTCCCCTCATGCTTAGCTTTGGCGAATTATTGCAGCTTTGCATCCGTTTCAGCTGAATCGCATTAAACCTCGATGGCTTTTCTTCAACTGGTGAGACTTTTCATTGGGAAATCAGGGAAAAATATGGGATGCTTCTCTGTCTCGCCAGGGAAAAAGAACTCTTTAATGAGTCTAATTGGTCTCTGCCTCCTGGCAAAGACACCTAAATTTTAGCTCTATAACACCCCAACAAAATATGCATTTCCATTTCAATTTCAAAGGTTCCCAAAACTCATGGTCACAAAAGCATATTTTTACAAAAGCATCATTAAAACCAATTTGCCAGTTGTGAGCAGAAAAGATAATGTTTGTAAATACAGGGTCAATTCAACCAATTCATCACAAAATGGTTGCTGGAAAGAACAAGATGGGAAAAGACCTGAGAGAAAGCCAAAGGAATCTTCCTAGGGAAGAAATTTCTACAGTTCTTGAAAGCCTTATCCTATGAATAAGTCAGTTGTGTTTCCCCAACTTTCAGCTAACATTAGTGGAGACTATTTCTTGGATATTCTGGATCAACATATTAGCATCTATAATGATAGAATAGTCCCAGATTTTGTTCCTATTCTTTCTGATATTACGTGAGATTTAAATAAACCAACCTGAGTGCTGGCATAAACAAGTATTTTATTTTACCAGGAGCTGTGAGAAAATATGGATATATGGATGTCCACAATAAAATGGGGGAAATGGGGGTGGAAGGAAGTTCGGGACTTTCTGGTCTTTTTCATAAATCTGGTCTGGACAGTGTCAAGTACTTCAATATCATTAATATACCGAAAACAAAAGAACTTGATCAAATATTCCTTCCAGTATCGAGATATGGAAACAGACAGGACTTCTACCACTTCACTCCAAAGACCTATCGACAGCTCTAATATTCCGTCAGTGGCTCCTTTTTTTAAGACTGCACACACCAAAGAAAATGAAGGGAGTTGATAACTTTCCAATTACTTCCTGATTTGGTATGAAAAAGAGGAAGGGTAAATCTGGCAAAAGTCCCAGATTCTTTGAGGTTTTAAGATTGTGATTACAAGCCTTAAGAGAAGCTGGGCAGAAAGTCTAGTTGGGAGCATCTTCTTTTAAAAACCAGACACATGTGAAAGCACCAAGCAGATGCGACATGTAGATGCATTAGCACTGAAGTCTGGGGTTACTCAGGTGATTTTGGGTCCTCCCAAAAAAAGAAAAAAGGTCTTATGGGATTAGGGAGATCTTCTAGAAAGCAGAACTAGAGACATACCTGCCCTGCTGAGAGACACTACTCAGAATCATTGAATTATAGAGTTGGAAGCTATCTCAAGGGCCATCCAGTCCAACCCCCTTTGGTCATGCAGGAACACACAATCAAAGCAGCCCTGACAGATGGCCATCCAGCACAGGCTTTAAAACCTCCAGATGAGGGCACTTCACCAAACTCTGAGGCAGCCTATTACATAGCTCTTAGCATCAGGAAGTTCTTCCTAGTATTTGGGAGGAATTTCTTTTCCTGCTATTTGAATCCAGAGCAGCAGGAAACAAGATTGCCCCCTCCTCAATGTGATATCCTTTTAAATATTTAAATACAATAGTTGACTTAACAAAAAAAGTAGTAATGTTTCAGTCAAGCACCTACTTAAGAGAGATATTAGAGAGTACTTGACCTGCGTTATTTCCCCTCTGATTTCCAATGCCATTCCTGCAGCATGTCCATGTGGAAGATAAAACATTCTGGAGGCAATCACACATACTTAATGTGTGTTTGCCTCCAAAGTTCTCAAAGTATTCTGAAACTTACTAATACCAGTATTTGTGATTTTTCTATGATATTCCCTGGAGGAAGATTTCTTTTTAGTTACTGGTCTCTCTGTCCTGAACCAGAAGGTATCTGTGTGAAAATATGCACACATTGGCAGTGATGCTTTGTAAATAACTGAGTAACAGATAGGAAAAGGTGTGCTGGTATAAGTAATCATTTGGAGAGGGGATAGGTATCTTCCTTTCTTGTACACAATCCATTTATTTTCATAGTAAAACATATATGTAGAAAACACTATAAAGGCTTTGTAGAGGGATTTCATAGACTTGTGATATTTTATATCACAAGT